GGGGGGGGGGTTTGCAGCAGGAAATGTTGGGGCATCCACAGTCATTTCTCAGCCATTTTAGACCCCTAGAACGTCATCTCCCAGCACCCTCCACGGTCCTGTGTAGTTGTCTTTTCTCTTGTAAATAACATAGCATACCTGGAGGGGGAAGTATTCCTCTGGCTCTCTCGTGAACCCAAGCTAGGAGGAGGTGATGTAGCCACCAGAGGGCTCACAGCCTGCCAAGGCTGTCACCCTGCACTGGAGGCTGGGGGTTGGGGGCACATCATGTGGTCAGAGCTATGTCCAGGCCCCTTCTCCACCCGTATGCTGAGGGCCACCCAGCCACATGTGCAACAAGGAGAGAAAGAAAGCACCAACTCTCATCTCCTGGACCCCTAAGTGCTAATCATAGCACTAATACTGTCACACAAGTTTCTAAAACAGCAACCAAAAACGGTGAGACAAGAAAAAGCTCGAGAGCCAGCAAGGGGGCCCTGTCAGCTATTCCTTGGGAAGATAGATCCTTCCTGTCAAACCTAGCTGCCCCCTGTACACATGTCTTCTTCAGTGGCGGCCTGTCCTAGCCTGGCCAGACCAACCTAAGGATTCACAAAGTCAAGCTCCAGGTAAACTCCCAGGATGGCCAGTTAGCAGGTGGTATTGAGAGCCCGGGTGTCCTTTAGTGCTGCTTGCAGCTTTCAGTTAAGCTTCAGTCTTAAAGATAAATGCCTGGAATGAAAACCATTGACTCCACTGAATTTTCCTTGTTCTCTACTAAATCTGACACTACATGCTCTGAACCCCACTCTGAGCCTGCCCACCCTCAGGTTACTCGATCAGAATTACATTTTAACCAGGTGCCCCAAGTGATCCAGTCACACGAATTGGGGAGGATAATTGGTCACCATGGAGCTGTGGCAGTACTGATGCCTGGGCTCCCCTCCTTAGCTCTTCCCTCCTCTCCCCTGAGACTCTCCCAGTCTGGGTGCAGCCTGGATGGACGGAGAATTCCGAGGACCCCTGGGTGCCCACTCTGCACCAAAGCCAAGCTGGTCCCACCAAAAGCCTGCCTCACTTAACAAAGCAAAGGGAACAGAGGTTGGGTGCCTTTCCCCTGTGAGTAAAGCGCCCCAGCCACCTGGAGCTCAGTAAGGAGCAGTAACCCCTGCCTTTGCCCTGCAGAGAAACGGGAGAATGTCATGTTTGTGCTGCCCCTGCACGGGGGTCACCTGGGCTTCTTTGAAGGCTCCGTGCTGTTCCCCAAACCGCTGACGTGGATGGATAAGCTGGTGGTGGAGTACGCCAACGCCATCTGCCAGTGGGAACGAAACAAGTCGCAGTGCTCTGACACGGAGCAGGTGGAGGCCGAGCTGGAGTGAGGCCTCCGGACTCTGGCGCACTCCAGTGGCCTCCCCTGGGCCCCACGCTTGCTGCTTCAGGTCTCCCATCTCCCTCAGTGACCTGGATCTGACCTCATACCATCAGCGGGGCCACCCATCGTGCACACCTGTCTCAAGTAGGCGGCTCTCCTGGGAGCTCCAGGTTATTTTTGTGCTTAGTTACTGGTTTCCTCCGTTGCATTGTTAGCCGTGGTGACAAGCAGCAGGGTTCTTTCCCCCTGTTGGGTTTCAGCATCTGATTGCATTTAAGCCAAGTACATCTAGTTTCCCTATTTAAAATGTGTCTGAACAGCAGTTTTGCTTTGCCAATCAAACGGCTTTTTCCCGGAGAACAGTGAAGGACATGTGTTATTTTGTGGTGGTTTTATGAGTTATATGTTCCCTTCCACTGAGCTTCCCATCCTAGGCCAGTGCTGAAGACACAGCTTAGCTTGGGAATCCAAGGGTCTGAGCCTCCCGGGCCAGTACATGGCCTCTTAAATGGCAAAGGAATTCCCCCAGTCACAAGCCAAGTTTTCTTCCTTCCCACCTTCTAAGCAGTTTCCTCACGCCTTGCTGCTGCTGAGGTTCGCATGGGGCACTTGTTAAAAATTCAGCCTCCCAGGTCCCTCCCCTTGCAGAGGGTCTGGGAAGGGGTCTGGGGATTTTAATTTTTGACAAGTACCCCAGGGGATTCTCATCACCAGGCAAACCAGGGAAACAACTTTCTAGGCCCCTTTCCATTAGCCCATCTTGGTGGCTCGTTTTATTTCACCTTTGTAGCCATTGGTGTCACTTCACTCCCAGGTCACTCCCAGGCAACTCCAGAACAGTGAGGCGTATTGTGTAGCTGCCCTGTGTGATCACAGTGTGATGTCCTCACAAGGGCCCTGGGTAGGAGTGGGCATTTGGGCTGGGCCCTGGCTGTGCTTCTCACCAGCTATATGAACCTGCAAGAGTCCCTTTGGGCTTGAGTCCCCCTAGGACACCGGGGGCTTAGACCAGGTGGGTTGCCGACCTGACCACCAGTTCTGAAGTTCAATGACAAACTCAGTTTACTGAATTTTGAGAGAACATCCCTCCTGGGACCGTGTGGATGTCGTCACTTGCCTCCCCCAGCCCCCGCGGCCCTCACTTCACATAAAGAGGTGTGGGGTTTTTTTTAAGCACTTAATTATAAGTTTAGGTTTTAACCCTGGTCCCTCTAACTCTGGTTTTTGATACCGAGCAAGTCAAAAGTTGGATCTGAATTTGAAGAAAGATATTTCCAATTGAAGATGGTATTACCTGAAACTAGACTTTGAAGGGAATGGCCTCTAATTGTTATTTGTTGGATGGATCTTTCTGAAATGTCTTCTTAAGGGAAAACCGTCACTATAGGTTTCAAGTACTTTCTCCAATCCTGTGGTACTTGGATACCTAAGAACTCTGCACTTTGAAAAATCAGCAGTTGCTGTCTGGAAGCAGAGAGCTTCCAGAGAAAGCAAAAAATCACCTGGATATTTTGCAAAGCTATTTTCTCTTCTTCATCTCCTTTGGCCCCAAGATAGACTAGAAAATAATTCGTGGGTGTGTGTGGCTGTTTAAGGTATGAAGGGGGCCACCTGAGTGCTTAAATGCCAGCCCTAAGTGCCGCACTGGATGGAGTTTGGGCCCTGGCCCAAGTGACTGTGACAATAACCTCTGTAACCTGAAGAAGTTATTTCCTGACAATCACCAGATCACCAAATAACATCAGAAACAGCCATTCTCTCAAAAGACTGAGATTTCTATGGTCTCAGCTTTGCTTTGGTATAATTTCTCACAGTCATCAAATTGTATAATTCTGGCTTTTCCCCCCAAACTATTGTTTTATCAATGCATGTTCTTTTCGTGTTCTTTTTTGCACAATTTGGCACTTTACCCTCTACCCTTCAATTTGGAAGCTAGTCTTTCTCCTCTGTTACTTCTCCCACCAACCAACCACAACTATATTCTAAAAGATTCTTAGACATCTTGTTACAGCCTTCATCCCTTGAGACTTTTTGTGAAAATAGGTAAACTAAGCAATAACTTAAAAGGATTGAATCACCATCCCCAAAAGTGAGGGGCTCCTTTTGTTTGCCCAAGGCCCATCTCTTGACTCACAAACGGGAGTGGTGGCACAGACGCCACTCGCTTCAGGAGAAAAGACTTCCCGGTGGTCTCACACACAGAGGGGCTGGGGGTATCCTTGGAGCTTCGGGCACAGCCTCTGCTGCCACACAGCCAGAGTCCCCCAGGATGGGGGTGGTGCACCCAGCTGAAATCTCTTCAGAGTGTGATCTGAATGGCACTTACATTCCATTTTGGTTCACATGACACCAACTGAAGCCCTTTATTCAGGCTTCAGACTCTCAGGCACAGAAATGAGCATGGGACCGTGGCTGTCTCACAGGAGAATTTTTGTTTGTGCCTGAATGAGAGCACAGAGGGACTGAAGGCAGAGATGCAAAATCGCCTACTCAAGGAGGGACCAGCACTTTCTATGTAGGTCATCTTTTCCCTTCCTCTGGGCTTCTGTGCTCTTCTTCCCAAAGTCACTCATTGCTGATGAGAATGCAAATGCTCTCCTTCTTACTAAGGTCCTATTTGGGGTAAAACAAAGCTGACTCTTTGAAGAGTGTTCAAATATTATTTTCCAAAATCAAATCAAGGCTGTAAATTGGGTAGATGTGGATCATTCTTTGGCAGGAATAATTTGTCAAAAAGTAGGGGGAGAAGCATCCACTTTTCTCCATTTGTCTTCCCTGTCCCCCAAACAATTGGAAGACACTGATCCTAGTCAGATTAGGATTCTCTGATTTGAAAAACAGTGTCAAGTTTCTTCAGTGCATTTATGTTAGAAGGGAGGTGAGTTGAAGAAAACCTCTTGCCTTTCCTGCATTGAGTCTGTACCAGTGACTCCAGAGCAGAGTGAGGAGAGAACATTGTGTGTTTTGTCATATTCCTTAACCTCTCCACAGTGTTTTACCCTTGCAGGGAATCCTAGGACCCACCGCAGAGTGGAAATTACCTGAAAGGGGAGCGTTCCTGACATGGTGTCATGGACCCAGGGCCCAGGAGACCCAGCTCCTCGACCCACTGTCCCGAACTCACATTGGACAAGTGGGTGAGTCACTTCACCTGTCAGCCCATCACCTCACCTTAGGCCATCTCTAAGGCCATGTCACCTGCCCAGTCGTTGTTGAGCATTTGTCTAAGCTTGGCCTCTCAGCCCTTGTAGGGGGTGGTCACTGCTCACAGCTCATCATGAGGGGACTGGGAGGGAGCAAGCTTGTTCATTCAGCTTTCCCCAGTTAGGACACTGGCTACTGGCCCAAGCCCTATGTCTCTGACCGGCATCTCTTCCAAATCCCCACTGTCATCATAGTCTCCTTTTGATTCTGGGGGCAGTCTCGTGACTGGCAGGTGCTGGCCACTGGGATGAGAACAGTGCCTCCATCCTGCAGTGTGGGACAAGCAGAGCACAGAGAATTCCCAGGGCAGAAATCCTTCCTTCTCAGGCTCTCATTCTAAAGCACAGTCTTCATTGAGCTGAACTGTCTGGGTTGCTGAGCATGTATGGCTGGCATCTGAATGAGAGCATTCTTTGTAACTGGGTAATTTGAGAGGTGTTTTGCCAGCTCCAAGGAAACAATGCATGTGTTCTTGTTTGTGTTTGCCAGGCAAGCAGTTGCCTGAGGTGTAAGGCTTTTCTTTCTTTCTTTCTCTTTCTCTCTCTCCCTCTCTCTCTCTCTCTCTCTCCCCCCCCCTCTCTCCTTCCTTCCTTCCTTCCTTCTTTCTTTCTTTCTTTCTTTCTTTTTTTTTTTTTCCCCCAGTACTGGAGACTGAACCCACAGCCTTCCTTCACACTGAACTATAGCCCTTTTTTAATTTTCAATTTTGACACAGGTTCTTGCTGAATTGTCTGGGCAGGACTCGAATTCACAATACTCCTGCTTCTTCTTCCCAAGTGCTGAGATTGCAAGTGTACACCACCATGCCTGGCTGCCAGGATTTTCTTTTCCTGGGGCTTGACCCTAACTGAGAGCTAAAGTAAAGACCACTGAAACAGCCCATTGAATTGAAAGAACTCGTGGGTCTTTGTCCTTTAGGCAGACAGGAATTGTTCAGCAGCATTCTGTCACAGTATCATCTGGAACTGTCTTTGCCCACAAAGCCTTAACTTGCCTCTAGAAAATCCCTTGGTATCACAACTGTATTGTGACATAGAAATGCAAATTCTTCTGCTGCACAGCCAAACCAGAGCATTTCCTGTAGGGGCCTGATAGGCTTCTTATGAAGTTAGACCCTGACCTTCCAGCCCTCCACAATGCGAGCACCCAGCATTAGGCCAGGAGGCCTCATCTCTGACATCTCTCTGTCTTTTGGCCTTGGTCTTATTCAGAGCCACTTTGGGTTAGCAGGGTGCTGGATTACCTGGATGCTTGCCTGCAGCATCCTGAGGTCATGCAGCTGAGAGCAAGGCTTTTTTCCACCTCTGTGATCTAAGCAGAAAGAAGTACCCCATTTTCATAAACTAGGTTGCCTTTGCCAAATAGTATTTGGATCTGAGGAAAGGGGAACAGGCCCTGCTAGCAGAGGGAACTGGAAGACCAGCCAAAGCAAAGGCCACCTGCTCTCCCTGTGTTGCTGCTCCCACTGCCTCTGAGTGCCATGGCCCACCCGCTCCCAGAGCGGCCCTTGGCGGCAAACCACAGAGGACAGCTCGCCAGCCATTCTTAGAATCCTAGGAAACGGACAGCTGCGCCTTTTGGAAGAGCCAGTCCACCATGTTTTCTAAACTGTTTTTCCCTAGTATATAGGTGGGTACAGCTTTTATGTTCAGTATCTCTATTAAATAAGCTGAAAGTAACTTCAGACTGGTGGATTAAGTCTCACATTCTGAGTTTCATGATATTCTCGGCTTTTAACTAGACTCCTGTCAAATCCATAAACTTCCTTCTCCCCCTCTAGTCCCCATTAGCCAAGAAATCCACGATTGCCATAAGTTGGGGACAATCCACTTATAACACTTGCAGAGATACCTACCCTTAGTCGCGATGGCCATTCTTCTCCCAGACCAATACCTAGAATAATCGCTGCCCTCCTTGGTCCCAAGGCCAAGCACTTCTCTCCCAGGCTGTTCTTGTGAGTGACCAAAGCTCCTGGGCCTGGGTGCAGGAATTAGGTTCTGTTTGGTTTTGATCTGGGCCTCTTTGGTTTTCCTAAAGCACAAGTCCATGTAGAAGCCTGTCACCTCTCCACACCAGTTCCAGGTGATCTGGGTCTCTCCCACTGCCTCAGGAAGACCTTCACTGTACCTGAGCTTTTGACTTCTGCCATTGCAGCTGCCTTAGTGATGCCAGGGGT